TATATGTATGTTACACTAAGGGGGGGGGGTAAGGTTAAACTAGATTTATTCAGTAAACATTAAAAACTATTTTCTCTGACAGGTTAAAAGAGTTCCGCTCGTCCTCACCTGTAGAAAGGGCCGAAGTCGACCACGCGGTGGCACTTCTGAAAGTCCCACGACTTTATCTTCTGACACTCCCGGTGGGCGCGGAACTTGACCTTGACGCTGCCCGGACACAGGAAGGAGGTGGGTCGACGAGGCGGATGCTGCTGGGTGCAAACCTCGTTCCCCTCGACTCGCCACGACTCGGCGAACTCGTCCACGTCAAACTTGAACTGGCCGTCGCCTCCCATGGTGTCGTCGCGCTTGTGGCCGTTGTAGTTGCCGCAAAGGCCGCAGAGGCGTCCACGCAGGTGGGGGGCGGCGACGACCTCAACAAAACTGTCGCCGTCCCACGTGATCTCCAGACCTGCAGGTGGAGGCGAAGGGACGGAGACGAGACTCAGTGTTTACGACAAGACAAGACGGGGGAGTGTCCAAAGAAGAAGAAGAAGAAGAAAAGCATGGAGGGTCGACACCCTGCAAACCTGCTGTGGAAACCCCAATCACACCTTTTATATTCTGTCGTCTTCACATTCGCACTGAAGGAAATGAAAACACAGATGACAGTGAGGTGTGTGCGGTGCTGACCTGCTATGGTGGTGAGTTTCAGCAGATACCCGTCCAGGTCGATGTGCACCCCGGGGCCGTGGTAGGGCAGAGCGATGCGGGTGCCGTTCCTCCGCACCGTCAGGTGCTGGTGCAGGCCGAGGACCAGACCTCCCAGCCTCACCTCCACAGACTGAGTCCAGGAGAAGGAGCGAGTCCGCCGGGCGTCGTTCTTCACCAGCACCTGAGAGGAGGAGTTTGAGGTTTGAGGTTAGTGTCAATGACTAGTTTTTAACACTTTTCAAAGCTGCTCCTGAAAAAAGGCTGAAAACTAAAGTGCTGTCGCACCGTGAAGCTGGAGTCGGGGCTGTTGACGTTATTTCCCGGGCTTCCGGAGGAGACGCCGCCACAGTCACGAGTCAGGACGTACTGACACGTTCCCTGGAAGTTAAAAGTCCTCCCGTCGAAGGTGTTGTAGTGAGGGTCCCCAAACACCGTGCACACACCCGGCTCTGCACGAGACCGAGACAGACAGGAAGACGTTGAGGAGGAAAAGAAGCCATCTGAACTTCGATGAAAATAAATACACCATTTACGATAAACGGTGAAATATGTGGCACGAGTGCGACCGACTGCCGAGTGGAAACAGGATCTGTGCTGTGAAAACGCTGCACGATGAAGAAGTGAGGTCACGGAGTCTTTGAAGTCCTGAAATGGTACGTTTACTGTCGCTGTGGGGATTTTAGTTGCAGCCAAAACCAAAAGTAAAATGACCCGAGGGCCGAACCACAGCCCGGACACACGCTCATGGGAAACTTCTTTTCTTTGCCTTTGAGAATTCACAGTTTTTGCTGCAGTGTGATCGCGTTTGTTCATCGACCGACGAAGACGTTCAAATGTTTTAAGACTCTTTTATTTGAAGTGTTTGAAGACAAACATGTCGGAGGGTGCAGAGGGACTTACTCACTTTCAGTGCAGACGGGGCAGCAGCCGGTTCTGTTCAGGATCTTATTCTGAAAGAGACAATTTTAAAAAACAGATAGAAATCAATGGAAATTTTATTTAATTACAACTTTGTAAAAAAGAACGTTCCATTCTTCACATTCTGTCATTTGTGTCTGTTTATAAGAAGCAAAAAAGAAAAGAGAATGAGGCGGAGACAAGAAGTTTCTGTGAATCAAGAGAATATTAGGATATAATTCACAACCTCATTATTTAGCAGATGAGTCGTTGTTAATGAGGTCTGACAGGAGGTTGTGTTTTCAGTACCGGAGGGATCATTGAGTCAGGAACATCTCCAGGTGTCTGACACCGAGAGATTGTTTTCACTGGTTCCTCAGAGAAGAATTCACGGATCAGACACATTCAGATATTTATGAGATATTAAATATAAACGTGTGAGTGAGTGAGTGAGTGACAGTGAATAACTAAAGATCCACCAGAACTGAGACTGAGACAAACTCTTAACCTGACATGAATGAAGAAGAGTTCTCATGCTGTCGTTCTCTCTCACGCACGCGCGCACGCGCGCGCGCGCACACACACACACACACACACACACACACACACAC